ACTGGAAGCCGGCCGAGATCAAATTGAAGGTAAACTACACCCCATTTATATATATATTTATTTAAAAACCCGTCTTACTTTCTTCTGTTGTTGCTATCCTAGCTTAATTAGCTAGTGCTGCTAAGCTAGCTAGGGGGAGAAGTTATGTAAACCGGTCGCTAGCTACAAGATTTGCCTTTATTACCGATATATTAGTGAGGATGATTAAACAATACCGCTTTAAAGTGGTTTATTTATCCTAATAGATGCCAAATGGTCGTCATGTTGGGTTGTTTCTGCTTCAAGGTGATTTTTTTGCCTTTGGAAATAGCATCTGCGTCATCATGGAGCTTCACCAAACAGCAGGAGCTTCTTTTCCACTTCTCCTCTTCGTGTTTTCTTCTTTTTGTCCATTAGAATATTAAAAAACTAACAGCTGGAGATTTACTTTAGAGACAGTTTAATCGATGTCAGACCTTAGTCCGAAGATATCCCAGGATAAATTCAGAAATGGGCCTTTTAAATGTAGGTTTAGGTATCACGATCCGGTTTCAATTAACATTTCTCTTCATTCCTGTTAACAGCAGACAAATTAGTCCTGGAAACAGAAATAACTATGTACTGCCTTAAAAATACCAATAAACACTAAATTACAGCAGATTAGTTAAAGCAGGGACGCATTTTATTATAATTTCTGACTACATGAACTCATTCTTGCACACACTTAAATTGATTTTACTTTAGCTGCAACTATGGAAGAAGTCTGTGGGATTTCTGGGATCTCCATGCATGAGTGAGGTGTTTTTTTAATTAATACTAAGCTCTACTTCTGTAAAAATGGTAAATTATTCATCAGTTTGTAGGTCGTGTTACAGAAAAGAAGGAATATAAACATCAGAATTTCTGGGCTTTCTGACAGAAATCTTCTGATGCTTTGATCCAAACATGAATTTATGAACACACACCATTGAAAAGCCATTTTAAAAATGATAAACGAATGTATTTAAGGAGCTGAAACCTTCCTAAAACCGGCCTGATGGCTCCAGGTTAGAAGGAATTTTCCGGGCGACGTCGGAAACTTCCAGAAGTTTACAGTCAGCCATCAGAGAATTTGCATTTTGGTGCCTGAGTGACTTGATCTGTGCAGATGTAGGTGAGCAGGGCTGTTAATTTTCATGACATTACCCTAGATAAAAGCCTCACCAGGCACCCGGACGGTCCTTTTCCCTTTTCCAGTACCGAACGGGGGTGTGGCCCTGCTGGTAAACATTGGCTGGAAGACAAAGTGAGGCAAAGTGGGAGCTCAGCAGATGCCAGTCATTGCTTCCTCATAGAAAAATGAAATTCCTCGCAGTCCTGTCGTTCCCGGTTTATCCCAGACGGGAACAATCGGGGCTGGTATGCCGGTGTTGTGTCATTTCAGCATACCCCGACAGACCAGGATGCCCATAGTTAATATGCATGCGCTACCTTTAGCAGAAATCCAAGAGATTAACATTGACAAAGTTTACTAGACTACTTTATTTATGCGTGATATGATAAACAAAAGGTTGTAATTTAAGGTAAACACACAAACTTACCAGAAAACCACACCGAAAGTCAAGTACTTTTGTTTACAAATTAACTTAGAAATGCTATTTCTAACAATTTTGTATTTAAAGCGTGTGCAGTCCCTGGAAAATTAGAAGATATAAGCAAATAAAAAACGTGGCAAAATTGTACATCAATTTGATCATCGATTGAACTGTTCCTTTAATCCCAAAATTGAACAAGACTATCATTACTTTTTTATGTGCTAACTACAACCTTGCTGGTAGTAAGCACCATGCTCACGTTTGATTCACTTCAATTAATCTGTATCCAAGATGACTTAATGTCCAAATCAAAATCTAACAGATATTCCTGCCTTTTCTCCTAATTTTAAACACGTTTCCCAGCAGCCATAGAGCTAAATCTAACAGATATTCCTGCCTTTTCTCCTTATTTTAAACACGTTTCCCAG